GATAGATGATAATTATTTTACACTAGCTGAAAATTCCTAGAGGGCATTCCCAGAGATTTAGATCGAGCTTACTAGATCGACCTAACTCCCTGGGGGTTCACGCTAAATTGCAGTCAGCCAACCGTCAGTTACCCCCTTACAGCTTGTAGTGGGCGGGACGGACATTTAAGCCGGATTATCTGACAGTAATCTAGTGAGACTCCCCACGGGGATAGATCGATCTAAAATCTATGGGAATGCGCCCCTAGATGTATGCTAGCTATTAATGGAAATGATTGTGATAAAAAAAGCAATTATTGAGGCTTGTATGTATGAACTCAGATCCTGGCTCAAGTCCAACTATTTTAGTCTTCAATGATGTAGGCAAAACTGAATTGGTAAATTTCAGCTCTAGGTTTTTGAAATTCAGTACCTATCTAGATAGTATCAGAGTTGGCGATTCTGTTATAAAAAAGCACATAGCTGTAGTTAGAAACTTGATTGTAGTTTTTACAAATGTGAGATGAGATCACACATAAAGGAAGTGTATAAATTATCATATTTTAGTCTGCAACGAATTTCTAAGATTCTTCACATTATTGACAGCAAGCAAACAAAGCTGCTCATCCATGTATTTTTTTACTTCTAGACTCAATTATTGCAATAGCCTCCTATTTGGAATACCAAACTAGCAAATAGAAAACTTCAGTCTATTGGAGTCCAAAATTCACAAGTACGATCACATTACACCAGTTCTGTCTGCAATCTGCATTGGTCACCAATATTTCTCTAAGAACTGTCAATAAAATATTACTCTTGGTTTAAATTTTTTAAAGAGCAACTGTCCATTTCATTTGAACAACTTGCCAGTCTCATTAGAACTCTAATTAGATCGAGTGGTCAAATTCAATTATTGCGAAAAGATACAAAAAAAGGCATTAAAAACGTATGGGAGTGTTGGGACTGCAGCACTAATTTTATGGTCTAATTTTATTAACAAATCCAATGTTTCTTGGCATTTTTAAAAAGAGGAAAAAATTTTTGATTCAGAAAACATTTTGATTAATTGATATGATACAACTACCAAGCTAACGAGCATTTTTGCTTATTCATCCCTACAATATTTATTGTTGAAAACAAAATTAAACGTACAAATAAAACTGGTTGTCAGATGTAGGCCTATGTCTGTGTGTGCGCGTGCGATTTGACATATTTTAAGTCAAGACGTCCAAGACGCCATTAATATTCCTGAATGCAAAGCGGGTTCCACTACTACTACGAGGAATACATTAATAAACAATGACATGCACGAGGTCGTCACAACATGTCCGGAAAATCAAAAAGGTATTATATACAGACTACTTAACTCTAAATGCAGTGCAATAAAACCTCCATGATGCGGGACTATTACTGTAAATCATTTCGGCCCGCATCAGCTGTGTAGCACACTCAGTTTCAAAAATGGTCTGAATTCCTGAGCCTACTAAGAATTATCTAGTCGACTAAGGTGAGTGTCTCTCGGATCCTTAAAGAATCTAAAACGTCGCATGCCTCGACTTTTCTATGACGTGATGCCCGATTTTAGCAGCTTAGACTATCTCAAGAACTTGACAACCGACCTGAGAACTTTCGTGATATAGGCCCATGTTATTTTTTCTTCAGTCAACAGTTAAGCTAACACTCTTTGTTCTTCGATATTAAAGCCTCTTTCAAGTCATTTTATGGATGTTAATGGAATCTCCCTCTATATTTTAACGACGAGGTTGACATGAACTTCAAACTAAATGGATACTTACCTTGGTTTACGATTATCTACTAAGTTAACTGAAATCAAAATATTCACCAGTGTCTGATAAGGTGGTTGTATAATATACACGAGCCCAAGAGCGCGCGCGCGCACACAAACACACCCACCCACACACACACACACAAACACACACACACACACACACACACACACACACACGTGCGCGCGCGGACGCAAAAACACAAACACTCAGTTTATCTTATACTCTGTCCATGTGTGTGTGTTTGCGTGCGTGCATGCGTGCTTGCGTGTGTGTGTGTGTATGCGTGCGTGCGTGCGTGTGCGAGTGTGTTACACAGCCACACACTCCTTTCACTTACATTTCTGGCGACCAGCTGAACAAACGCCGTACCTCGGCTAGATGTGCAAGCCAAGTGCTCGGTGTAACTTTCGATAATTAATGAAACAGTCCTTAAGTCGGCGTTTTCCTTGACCCAAAGGCATGTCACAGCATCTCGTTAAAACAAAGGAGAGAACTCGTAAACGTTACCTGTGCTTGTCTGTGCCTCTTAAAGACATGTGCATCTTCCCTGGCACAGAGTGACACGTTTTATATAATTTACACTTTAACGGCGTTATTAAGCCCTTCCCCTTAAATATGGTGACTCCAAATTAATGTGGCTCCAAATGCCGTGGTTAATATTAAGTCTGCACACCAAGGTGACCTCACATCCGCGACATGATCAATTTGCATAAATTTTCTTTTTTATATAATTGCAGCTTGAAACAAATGTAGCAAACTGCCAAGGTCACAGACGATAGAACATTCCTGGTTAAAGGATTTTAAAAAAAAAAAAATTAAAACAGGTGAATCGCCTGCAGAAGCCTATCCATCAAAATTTATTATCTTGCTGTGTGTACACTAATTACTTTCGTCAACTATGCTTCGTCTCTTACCTCCTGAAAAAAGACTCACATATTCGTTGAAATTTTGAGAAATATCGAAATCTATGTCTTCATTTCAAGGGCTGACTTCATTCAGGATCAAGCCCCCCCCCCCCCCCACCTCCCCCAGGTTCTGAAAAAACTCCTTCCATTTTCCCTCCAAAACTTATATAAGACAAAAACAAACGATTACTCCATCCTTACGTAATCTGGACTTGGTTTTTTTTTTTTTTNAAAAGAGGTGAATCGCCTGCAGAAGCCTATCCATCAAAATTTATTATCTTGATGTGTGTACACTAATTACTTTCGTCAACTATGCTTCGTCTCTTACTTTTAACCTCCTGAAAAAAGACTCACATATTCGTTGAAATTTTGAGAAATATCGAAATCTATGTCTTCATTTCAAGGGCTGACTTCATTCAGGATCAAGCCCCCCCACCTCCCCCAGGTTCTGAAAAAACTCCTTCCATTTTCCCTCCAAGACTTATATAAGACAAAAACAAACGATTACTCCATCCTTACGTAATCTGGACTTGTTTTTTTTTTTTTTTCTGTCGCAGACGACATTTCTATTTCAGTCTCCAGGTACAGTAAATCAACCCGGTATGATCAGGACAGGAATGGTAGTCCTAGGCTCTGTTCTCACAACTTTTAGATCGATCTATCACCGCGGGGAGTCTCACTAGATTACTGTCAGATAATCCCCCTTAAGTGTCCGTCTCCGCCTACTACAAGCTTTAAGGGGTAAATAACTTTCGTGTCCGCCCGGCTGACAGCTATTTAGCGTGAACCCCCAGGGAGTTAGGTCGATCCAATGTAGGTCGATCTAATCTATGAGAATGGGGTGCTAGGAACGGAAGTCCGGGATCCCGTATGATAAGTACAGGTTAGAGAAAACACGTTTAAAAGTCTTTCTCTGACAATGACCTTTCAGCAATGTCATCTCTGGCTTCTGCAGCAATTAAGTATGTAAAAAAAAAATAGGAAAAGAAAAAAAAAACACACCTCCGTTTGACTGTTCGTTTGTTTGTTTGTGTTTGTTTGTTTGTTTGTTTGTTTGTTCGTCACCAGCCTAACTCAAAGATATGGATGGATTTTGGTGAAGATTTTCAGGATAGGTCAAAAATGAACTAACTTTAATTTTAGTGATTAGACTTTGTCGAAGGTCCATTGATTAATTAATGGTGAATTATTGGTTTATTATTTGTGTTGGCGAAGGTCTCGTGCTCTCTGAGTACTTTTCTGGTTTTTCCTATCATATGCCGGTAAAAATCTGCAGAGGCACACACGATGAAGGAGAGAGTTTTGTCCGAAAAACAGTGGCAATAAAAATATTTAGCCCGGAGACATCAGATGGCGTCTGGCGTCGGTCCAGAGGAGAGAGCGCGCTGCTCAATATAAATGTCATTTTAGGGCTATGCAGAAAATATAAGTCGTACTGAGAGACATTATATGAGTCATATTAAAGGGATAATAACTCTTCGTAGGAGATCTATATTTCACAATCAAAACATTGTGAATAACTCTACGATAATAATTTTACGACAAAAACAGCAGTTATAGCTATTATTCTGATATCTAAGCTTGTCTTCAGATCACGTGACCTCCATTGATGGCTATACTCTGTTATAGTCTCTTAAGAGATTTTAACAAAAAACCAAACTTTTTAGAAAAAAACCAGGGACTAACTTTGAATGTAAAAATGGATTCATTAACCATTGGTAAGTAAGGGAAAATTGTTGTTTACTCCAGGAAAATTCATTTTTTGGCCAAAACGAAGAGTTATTATTGCTTTAATGTTCCAGGTAAGACATATGTGCCTCCGGTGATGTAAGCCTCTCTTTTTGGTACCGGCTTTTGTTACCCAGTCCTTATCGCCATTTGACGTCTTTAAACGATACAATTTCCAGGGGATTCTTATTGCTATTTTTATTTTTTTATTTATTTATTTATTTATTTATTTATTTATTTATTTTTGCATAAACTCATAGAAAAGGTGAATTGTACGAAAAGATGAGATAAGCCTACAAAAAGTGCATTACAATGTAGGCCCTCACGTTTGGCCATTTTGGACTGATTATTCCGAATTTGCTTCTTTAATTAAAATTACATGGCATCTACAATAAGCCTAAAGAAGATAATCGTTTCCATACAACATTACAAAATAAAATAAAGGAAGAATGACAACTGTTATCGACAAAGTTCTGATGTTTAGCGTCTACTTATCACATTTGATTGATAAAATTTGTAAGCTTATTCCAGTGTGTTAGATGTGACACATATCCGAGCAATCACAAGCTCCTCTAACACAATCCCATCATTACTTCCGGTAGTCAACTTCCGGAATAAACATGCCTTGTCCTTGCACGGGCGGGTACACGTTGACAGTATTATCAATCAAGTTTCACAATCATATATGACCCAGTTCTTGAATGCCAGTATGTAGGTATGCACCGCCTTCTTTTCCGTCACTTTAACACGATGTCATCGCCTTGGAAGGAAGCAGCGACGCTAGTCCTAGCCGCGAAAGCACCGAATGCGTCCCGTCAGGGGACTTTGATCCCATTCGATTATAAACTCTTGATGCTGAAACGAAGCTCTCGTAGCGGCTTCATGCCCAGTGCGAACGTATTTCCCGGGGGTGTGTTGGATCCGGCTGATGAGTCTTCGGAATGGGTAAAGCTGTTTGAGTCCGCTGGCGTAGGGGTGGAAGAACTGAAGAAATTCTCGGATATTCCAGGCCCTCGGCCTGCGGCGTTTCGCACTCGGCCTCGACAGAAAGTGTCTGGCTCTGAAGTTGCGTTGCCGAGGGAAGTGGCTTTTCGCATCTGTGCAATACGGGAAACGTACGAGGAATCTGGTATTTTACTGGGCAGGAGATTTATCAGGCAATCACAGTAAGTTGAACACCCTGAGTCTTAGACTTCACTTGAAATTATAATTCAGCCTATATATTCTATCAGCATACCTATGTTGTTTTCAGTATCATTCAAAATAAATAGATGATAATAATAATAATAATAATAGACAGTAAAAAGTGAACCTTTGAGACACGTCAGTAATGCACAGATTTTGTGTAATACTTGCATAAATTTTAACCTGCTTTAAAATTATTTTGCTATTTTGTGAAACTCACACAAGCACACACACACACACACACACACTTATATTTAACAAAATCAAAAGCAATAAAAAGCTGATATAAAAGAGTTATGCAAATACATGTACTTGTATTTTTACTAATATGTCCTAGAACTATTCATCTTTGAATTTCTTTAAAACATAATTATAATACATTAATTTATTTCTTTAGAGTCTAAAATCCATAAAAGATATGTTCTGTAGACTTTGCAAATAAAAACAAAGTGAAAAGGGTTATTTTTAATTAAAAAGTAATGGTATCAAAAGTATAAAGAGAAAAAGTGTCCATTTATAATTTTCTGTTAAGTATTAAATGTTTAATCATAATTTTTTAATGATAAGTTGACTTTGACTTTTACAATTCTTAAATCACATTTCAGTGGCCAAAAGTCAGAAGTCACAAATTCTGGGAAGTTCTACAATAACAGTGGACTTAAAATAGCTGACCACTGTGATTTAGAATGGTCAGTCCTTGACCAGTGGCAGTCTAAAGTGGACTCCAATGCCAACAACTTTCTAGCCATGTGTAAGGAGTTTAGTATAGTGCCTGATGTATGGGCATTAAGGGAGTGGTTCAATTGGCTGACCCCTACCGCCGGCGTAAAGCCCGGAAAAGGGGCAGATCACAAGCTTGCCCCGCGGAGATACGACGCTTTATTCTTCCTGTGCTGTATAGATGATCTCTTGGACGTGTCACACTGTCAACGGGAGATGGTCAAGGCTGAGTGGGTCAGTCCTGTTGATGCTCTGCTTGACCATCGGGCTCATCTGATTTATCTTCCTCCCCCTCAAGTATTCACATGTAGTGGACTATGTAACCACCCTAGCATAGAGCACCTGCAAAGGTTCAGTGTAACGCGCGAACAGAACGGCATGGAACGCTGGCTGCCAGTGCTGGTGCCATGCAGGGACGGAGTGGCCGAGCTGTGGCCAGGAGATGACCGCTACCCTGCTGAGCCTGACCTCTATGGAGTATCGGACTCGGAGACGGATTCCGTGGTCACTCTGAAGGAGTTTAGGGAAGGGTGTGCTTCGTTGAATAGACTGGAGTTGAATTCACCGCAGGATTCGAAGATTGTTTCAAATGTGGCGTCGTATGGACATCTAGGTCTATATCAAGGGGAATTGAGGACACCACTGTTGAATAAATTGTGAATTGTGCCTTAAATGTATTGAACCAGCAGCCAAGTGGACTTCCATAAACTTTCTTAACAAGGAAAAATTTATATAAAATGATAGGGCTACATATACTTATTTGCTCATTTTACATATCCAAAGGAGGTCAAAATGTGCTTATATTATTAACTCTAAGGAAGTGAAAGAAAGGGAAATATTTTGACCATATTCATTATCAAAGTAATTTTTATAGTATATTTTTTTTTCATTTAAGTCTTTTGTACATGAAATAAGTGCACACAAGTAATGTGCACTTTGCTAAGGTCAGTATTTTTATAGCAGCATTATTTTGATGCATGCCTATATCAACTATTCACTGATTTTCTTTTTAAGGCATTCAATGCACATTAGACTTTTGTGCAAATTAAATTTTCTTGTAAATTTCAGTAGTTTCCCTCTTTATCAGCAAGATATCCATTATCCAAAACCATTGAGAATAGTATGATGATGTTAAAACAGGTTTTCAGGTTATAAATTTGTTTTTACTGTCACAAAAAAAAAAAAAAAGAAATGTAAGCAGTCTTGATCTCCATGATAAGAGTGCGTCAAAAATAAGAATTTTTTTTGCCATAAGATATACCGTGGTGAAAATGGAAGTACTGAAAGTTCATTGTCTGCCATATGTGAATGTCTACGTGTTACTTTAAATGCATTCAATGGCTTGTCATAGGCAAAAATGTTAATTTTTCAAATAATGTAATTTGTTATAAAAATACTTGAAAAGCAATAAAGTCTTTCATGACGGGAGTCTGAAACAGATTTTTTTATTTCCACAAAATAATTATGACAATCCAATAATTTACATGTCAAGGAGCAAAATTCAATTTTTTATAGATATGCCTTGGAATTTACCCTCTGGCCCAAAGTTACAAATTTGGGTAACCTTTTCTTTAAAATAAATGTTTCACAAAACACCACCTCCTTCACGAATGAAGAAAGCACAATTTATGCCTAATAAGTTATTTTCCACTACAGTTATTTTGTTTTTCACATTTCATGTTCAACTTTATCTTAATTTAAATTTGGGACCCAAGTACTTGACCAAGTTCAGTTTGTAAATAATGAAAATGTGAAGAAGAAATGTTAGTGATGAATATAATGAAAATAACAAATCAACTTAAACAAGTTCTGCTGCTGGGCAAAGATAAAAAGATCTAGTCTCCCCCCCAAAAAAAAAAAAAAAAACAATAATAATAACAATAAATATAAATAAAATGAATTCCTTTGATATTTGCTTTTAATCAGAACAAAATCCCCATTCACTAATGAACAGACGAAATGTGACCTAGCTTAATGGCATCACCACCATAAATTATACAAAAATTCATAAATTATATTCCAGTACCATAACTGCAATTTACCTGTGATCATCTTTTTGACATTTTTTTTTTCTTCAAAATTTCATTGTCAACTTGCCTGAGCTCTAACAAAAACTTTTCCCGATCAGGGGCGTAACCAGACCTTCAAAATTTGTACGCACAGATTTTTAAAATTCCCAGCAAAATGTAGACTAACGCAACAGATGAAGAACAGCGTAATCACAGCATATGTACCACACATCGCATCTTTATTTCCATTTATAATAAAATCATCATTTAGTCAGATATATTCTCGCAATTAAAAAAGTTTCAATATTCTTATTACCGGTATATTTATTTAAAAGGAGGCTACCTTCGCATACGTGGAACCCCCTTCGAATAAACCTGGATCCGCCTCTGAGTTGAACTAACTTACGGTTTCATTCACCTTACATGTGGATGCATGGCTCCCAAAACAACCAATTGTACGACACGACAGAGCTCTGATACATCTAAGTTTAATTATTTGTAAAAATTGCCCATGTCACCCTGTTAGTTTGGAGGGGTAAGCTGCGTCAAGTCCGTGTCTCAGTTCAATAAAAGTATGCAAGCCGGGGGGGGGGAGGGGGGGGGCTGGGGTAGAACAATTGTGCCTATGGACAATTGATACAGAGGGATTTGTACATA